GCTGACTATGCCGAGGCGCCGGCAACCACAGCCACTCGGTCTTGGAAGGGTTGAGTCTGAGTCTGTTCCTCCCCATCCAGACCCGTACGGCCTCCAGGCAACGGGCCATCACGTCAAGGGCATCGTTGGGGTGACCTGGGGTGGAGATGTACAACTGAGTATCATCAGCGTACTGATGGAACTCCACCCCAAAGCCACGGATGATCTCTCCCAGCGGCTTCACATAAATATTGAACAGTAGGGGAGAGAGGACCGACCCCTGAGGCACCCCACAGGTTAGGGGTCTAGGAGTCGACCTCTGTCCCCCTGCCAATACAGACTGCGTACGGTTAATTTGATACTGTTTTAAAATTATAAGGGCACTTTCACACTTTCTAAAGCATCAGAAGTTTAAAGGAACATTTAGGCATTTCGAAGTTCAACCATTTGCCTTCCTGTTATCAGCTCAATTCTGCTTCATGTATATTTTTACATTGTTTCCTTTGAACACACACAGCATCAAGGAATAATGGATGGGGAAAAAAGTAGGAGCCATTGTGTATAGCTTCAGGTTTGAATGGAAGAAAGATCCTTTCAATTAACCACTTCTGTAACTCTCTAAATCATCTGTGCCTTCTCCTGGTGATATGATGGTTGATAGATAAAGGTAAACATTTCCCCTATCCAGTCATGTCTGACTCTAGGTGGTGGTGCTCATCTCCATTTCTTGGTTGAAGAAACCAGCATTGTTTGAAGACATTTCTGGGGTAATGTGGTGAGCATGACTATACACTGAGGCCCACAGAATGCTGTTACCTTCCCACCAAAGTGGTACCTATTTATCTACTCACATTTGCATGCTTTTGCTCTGCTGGATGGGCAGGAGCTAGGGAAGGTAACAGGAGATCATCCCATTGCATGGTGCTCAGGTTTCTAATCCAGGCTATCAGCTTTTCAGCTAACAAGCTCAATGTCTTTAACCACTGAGCCATCATGCCCCCATTGAGAGATATGGCCAAGAAAATTTGTTTTTGAATTAAAAAATAGCACATGGGTACTATGTTCATGCACCCATGTATTTTGAAGGACCTTTCTTCCTTAAAATATGAAGTCCTACAAAGTCATAATGATAATATATTAAGCAAGGATATATTGCTATATAATGTATGTGGCCCAAGCTCTATTGGCACAACACTTCTCAACAATTGCCATATGGACTATCCCTCCAATTCTCATTAAGCATGCAGGAGAAAAGAGATTAAAAAGAAGAATAAGGGGCAGAGATGTTGTCAAACCTGGCCATTTTGATGTTCTCCAACCCTCTTTATATCCATTATGTTGGAAGATTTGCTGTACTGTGTCATTTACCTCTTTCATTGGAAATCTTCCCTTCTGGACACCGAACACATCCATAGCAGCAAAATTTCTCTCCTTCTTTTTTTCTCTTTTGAGAACCAGGCTGGCAATAAGGATTACACAAGGAAAGAGGATGGACCTTTTTTAAAAAATAATAATAATAATGAAAGGTTAGGTAGAGGTTATCTGGCATGACATAACAAATGAACCATCAGTTTACATATGTTTGGACGGTAAATTGGTAGGTAGTTGGTAGGTAGGTAGGTAGGTAGGTCACTACAATTAATGCCTCCTGGACAATGCTGAATTTATCATATAAAGTATACTTCATCTTAACCTAAACTCTTGATATAGAATTAATTATGAACAATCTTCTTCTCCTTCTCCTTCTTCTTCCTCCTCCTCCTCTTTCTTTTTCAACAATCATTTCTCTGAAATGGTATAGGGTTTCCTGCTTAAGCAGGGGGTTGGACTAGAAGTCCTCCAAGGTCCCTTCCAACTCTGTTATTCTATTTTTCTTTTTCTTCCTCCTTCTCCCAAGGACTTACTAAGGATCTCTT